GAGTTACAATCCATTAGCTTGATTTATCTCAGATGACTGTTTGACGGAAAAGTGACAAAGGGGAGACTCATGCTACCAGGAGCCACTGGACACAAAGCAAGATGCAGATGTAACTAATCAATCCATTCTACATTGTGATAAGGGGAATCGGTATAATCTCTTAGCAGGTTGGTGGCACAGACAGTGCTAAAACTGAAACAAGTACTAAGAGATACTAAGTAACCAGTCCAATGTATCTTTCACCTCATAATTTAGCAGATGCCTAATTCTACAAACGAATTTTAAAAATAGCTTAACATTTTTCTCTGAATCTCAGGTTTGCTCAATTGTACGGGACAGGACTCTGCGGTGGTCACATACAATGGATATACACATTCAGGGGTCTCACCTCTAACTCTAACCAAAGACCTGTAGAAGAACCACCAACTAGACATTCAGATACTGTATACAGAATTTTTTTGTCTAACATACTCTCTTAGCGTTTCCTTCTTCATAGCCATATTGTGAGCCCTTTTCACTTATCCTGGAAACTGCAAAGGTCATAAGCCATAAAGACCTTAGAAGGTTGTATGTACAGTGGGGATAGAGGCACACATAATTCATCCTCTCACCATACTCAGAAATCCTCCAGACCATCATGTGTTCAGCGCAAATGTGTGCAGTGAAGCCTATAAGTGAGGGGCAAGTGATATTGTCTGTAAGTTACATGAAGACACCCAGGTACAATTTTGTCATCCCTGCGACCCCTGCCTCCCATTTCTCTGCAAGTGTCTTCAGATGAAAGTGCTCACAAGCTCCTCTGTAGATATGTGTACTCAACACACAAAGTTCTGGTTGCCTGGGTGGGACATGGGGGTATGGTTATATGTTTCTCCCTGTCCTCCACCCATTCCGCCCTCATCAGAAATTAAGGCACAATGCCTGTGCCCTCCATCCTATCATCTCCAGCCACTGTAATGTCTGAATTGGACTAAATTGTCAGGAATTTGACAGAAAAACCCAAAGGTGGAGGAAGAGGAGGGCACAGAGAAGTCTAGCCTAAAACGTGGACACATCGTTTACCTTGATTGTAGTGGTGCTTCGCTCTTCGTACTTGCACTCACACAGCAGACAGTATGCCTCTACATCATGCCCCGGCACTGGCATAGGCTCCACCACATGGAGGCAGTTACTGCAGTGGTGAGAAAGAAGCATGATTGACGGGCACATAAGAGATCCCCTGCTGTATCTGAGATATGTCAAAAGTTCCATAAGGGAATTTTTACCAACTGGGCTCCCTCCAAATATGGTGGATTAAAAAACCCTGTATCTCTAACCTTTGAGGTCATGCTGGCTAGAGATGATAGAAGTTGCAGTCAAACACAGCTGGAGGACATAGATTTGTTCGCTTACACACTACCCTTTCCTCTGGTCTTTAACCCAAGGTAGTTCACTGTCACAGGTTTAAAAAACTACAGAAATTTAAAACACAATAAAGCTACAAATATTGATATAGAATTAAAGTAATTATATTATTAAAGTAAAAAAAATAAATTAAAACACTTTCATGTTCTTGGTTAAAATATTAGAACTAGTTTTTCAAAAACCAGAGAGAAAAATCAGCACATTTGTTAAAATCCTGAGTACAGATGGGCACTTACCATAGTTTGATGCATTCTAGAGGATCAGGTTCACAGGTGTTGTGCAGGCATCCTGGATTCCGTGCCCCAGCTCATCCTGCAGGTGCCCACTCGGGGGGGGGGCAGGGCGGGCCACAGTGCTGCTTCTGATAGGGTGCCCATGGGAGAAGGCAGGGCACAGAATTTAGGGTGCCCGCACAATACCTGCAGGTCTAATCCTCCACACTGTACTGAACCATGGTAAAAGCCTGCTGCGATGTCCCTTTGAAGCCGCTATTCCCCCCAAGGCCTTCACGAGGTTCTCGCTCTTCTTTCTTCGCTGCCACCAGGTATTACTGCTCTAATACCATTGAATCATGGAGACATGTGTGCTTTTAAAACTTAAGCCATTTATTATATCAGGGACGTTAACATCTGATTGTTATTCAATAGGTAAATCACAGGTTGCTAATCACATGTATTTGAATCAATTCTACTTTAACTTTAAAACTCTATTAACTCTCTGTTCCATTCGGCGTTCTTACAGCTCTCTAACTCACTCTTAGTTCACTTTTAAGTTTCACACTGTCTCTCACTCACAGAATCTCTCTTCATACTCCATACACCAGCCTTTATATCCAGCCCCCTCCCACCTGACGCCGCCTTCTGTCCTCTCATTGGCTCCTTCTCCACTGTTCTGCTGTGACGGGCAGGTGAGGGCAGAGCTGTTGCCTACAATGCACATATCTAATCCTGAGATCTGAGGCTATTAACTGCCAAAGGTTTAACCTAGCCTTTCTTAGCAAAGAGTTCCAGATCCTAAGAATAGCCTTGGAGGAGAATCTCATTCAAGTTCCCAACCAAACTGGCTGATGAAGATGGTGAGAATGTGAAAAGTGCACCTCTCCAGTAGATCTCAAAGCCCAGGTGGGCATGTACTTGAGAATACGTTCTTCCATAGAACCTGAACCCAAGTCATGAAGGACTTCTTAGGTCATAACTAGCACTTTGAAATAGCTACGTAGGTTTAGATTTGGTTATGAAAGGCTGATGTAAGTCATCTGTTCTGGAGGATATGGAGTTTCTTGTAACATTCCTCTGGATACACTGTTTGGATTAAAACAATTATACACTGGCTTAACAAGCCAAGCTTTTTGCACACCAATAAGATAAACTATTTGCCCAACTGTCTATGTCCTTCTCTCCATCCTTCATGGCACACAGTAGTTAGATGTGGAAGTGAAGATTTCTGATTAAAAATAACTAAAAAAATAGAAACAATGATTACCAAGTTGAAAACAAGCTAGCACCTTAAACCATAGTCTGAAGTTGGTTTAAAGTTTCATACATAAGATTTCAAAAACCAGAGAGAAAAATCAGCACATCTGTTAAAATCCTGAGTACAGAGGGTAATTAGAAATTCCTGGGTTTAAGCAATGGTAGTTTCCATTATTCTGGTTTACTGTGTTGCACCCAACTCCTCAACTACCATTGTTTGACTCCTCTCAGGCCTCCATCCACCTTGCATTTAACACTGCAACAGGCCAGGCTCTCTGTCTTGTTCCTTTCCCAACAGTACCAGGAATAATTAATTCTCCGTTTTCAATTGTCTTGTTGGGACAGCAACAAAGCAGAGATCCTGCTTCAGATATATTGCTGAACAATGAACAGAGTTTTTCTGGTATGTTTAGCTGCCCCTGCTACCAGAAACAACTGAGTGTATAGCAGCGTAATGGCTTATTCATGTTAAATACAGGGGTTTCAACAATTCTACTTTGATGTTTCATGTAAACTGGCCTAGTTCTTCCCAAGGAGAGTTCTCTCTCTCTCTCTCTCTCTCTCTCTCTCTATCTATCTATCTATCTATCATTAAGAAAAACAAGGCACAGTCAACTTTATAAAAGCATTGACTAGTATTATATGACAGATACACATTTTGACCAAAAACCTAAGAGTCTGTTAAATATTGGCACAGTATTACGTTGTTCTTAATCTTGTTAAGAGTCTGTTAAATATTGGCACAGTATTGCGTTCTTAATCTTGTCAGGTTTTTTGTAGCTCTGATGGTGTGATTTCTGAGACCTGCAGCTGCTTATAGTACTGTGTGAAATTTCTTAATATTGTTCCCAAAGCCCCAGTGAGAGATGTTTTGATTGCCAGGTCTCTCACACACAGAATCTCTCTTCATACTCAAAACTAACATACGTTAGTTTTTCCAGTTTTTAATTTTCAACTCTGGCATCCCCTGGAATTGCAATGTCAATGATCTGGACATTTCTTCGCTCTGTTACTACTGTGAAAAGTGCACCTGGTGTATTAGGTTCAAGGTGTCTATCAGTTTGGATCTGAAAATCCCACGGGATCTTGACTTCATCATTTTCTGACACCTTCTCTATCTGATATTCTAATGGGTTTTTGGAAGCGGGCAAGTAATTTGTTGTTGTTTTTTTGCATAATGACCAGTGCACTAATTTTGCCACTCTATCATGTCTAACTTTGTAATCTCTTTGTGCAATCTTTAGACATCCACAGATGATGACGACGATGATTTTAAGCAATGCAGGCAAATAGCAGCAGTGGGGTTTTTTTTTTGGCACAGAGGGTATTCTGTAGATAAATAGCAGGAATGGAGATGGCTAACTCCTGATTCAACTTTTGGGATCTTGATCCAGAATGAGAGCCTTGGAATTTTAATTTTTTTAAATTACTATTATTTAGACAGATTTAGGAGTTTCGACAACATAAGGTCCACATCATACTCAGCTTGACCCTTACTATGGAGTAAGTCCTATTGTTGTCAGTCAAATTTGCTTCAAAAGCACCACATATATGTGTCACCTAAATCAATCTTCATTATGACTAAATTATTTAAAGAGCTAATAAATTCTATTTTTTAAAAAAATCCTTAAAAGGGGTGGTTTTTTTAAAATAATTCTTTTTCCTGACAGTTATAAGCCTTGGTAGAATACAACTGGAATTCCCCTAAAAATTTCCATGGTCTCAGTTACAACCCTTAAGGCTGTGAAATCAACTTGCCAAAATACTCAAAGGAATCCTAAGTAGAGCTAATGATCCCCTACATGTATTCTTTTAAATACATCTTGTTAAGAAAGAAATGTGTGCCCCCCCCCCAGATTGCAGAGGGCTACAAAACAAGAATTAAACTCCCCGCTTTGATCAATGCTTTCCCTCTATAAAAATTCTGAAGAAAATCTCTGCAGGCAGGAACGAGTAGCCATTTTCTTGTTTGCTTCCCTATCCCATTCTCCAAAATATCACCAATGCATTATGGCTCCATAAATGTCCTGAGACCAGAACTCCAGTCACTACAGGCTCATCCCCTGGATCAAGTAATTAAATAATTAAAATACACACACACAAAAAAACACATCAGGCTTGAACAGCCAGATATTGTGAAACCTCAGTTTATTTTCCTATCTACTCAAGATCTTGGATTCATGATGGAGAACTCCCACAATCTGAGTCACAACATTTAAATAACAATTTGATTTTACCTGGCTTTGCTGTGACATTTTGCATGGTGATAACATTAGCATTCTGGTGATTCTAAATTCATTAAAAATAAACTCAACAACTTTATAACCAGAAACAGTAAGGAACAACCACAAACTCTGACTTTTTATACTGGTGGATAGCTAACCGGGCTTCATGCTAGAGATCTTCAGGAACAGTGACGTGAAGAACTATGTTTTATGGCAGGGACAGGAAACCTGTTACTCTCAAGTACAATTCCCATCACCAATGACTGGCTATGCTTGCTGGTGCTGAAGGGAGCCAGAGTTCAAAAGCAGCTGGAGAGCCACATGTTGGCCATCTCCTTAATACAGTTTGCAAAGGTTGTTATCAGCTTGAAGGCTATAGAACAATAGTTGAAAGTTGACTCACCAGTCCTTCTGTGACACATTATTCTTGTAGATCTGCCCACTAATGTTCCTGTAAGGGGGGCAAACACACTTGCAGCGGATGTCCTCAAAGGCCTAGAGATGAAAGATGGGATATAATGAGAAGCAAATGATGCAGACTGCAAGGCCTTTGCCCAAATCTTGTCCCTCATCACAAAATGAAACATCCACAGCATAATCACCAGTTGAATTCCCTGGTGGTAATTTCCTTTTTCAATTGTTTTATATATTTTTTAAGTAGCAAGAAGGAAAAGATGTGTAATTCCTGTAGAAACAGACTCCGCTGGTTGCTAATTACAAAAAAACTAGAGCAGCCAAATGCAATCCGCATCTTACTGCCTGATCCACTGCATTTCTACTCTAAATCAAGTACAGTGGTGCCTCGCACAACGATGTTAATTGGTTAAAAAAAAAACTTTTTATACTGGTGGATAGCTAACCGGGCTTCATGCTAGAGATCTTCAGGAACAGTGACGTGAAGAACTATGTTTTATGGCAGGGACAGGAAACCTGTTACTCTCAAGTACAATTCCCATCACCAATGACTGGCTATGCTTGCTGGTGCTGAAGAGACCCAGAGTTCAAAAGCAGCTGGAGAGCCACATGTTGGCCATCTCCTTAATACAGTTTGCAAAGGTTGTTATCAGCTTGAAGGCTATAGAACAATAGTTGAAAGTTGACTCACCAGTCCTTCTGTGACACATTATTCTTGTAGATCTGCCCACTAATGTTCCTGTAAGGGGGGCAAACACACTTGCAGCGGATGTCCTCAAAGGCCTAGAGATGGGATATAATGAGAAGCAAATGATGCAGACTGCAAGGCCTTTGCCCAAATCTTGTCCCTCATCACAAAATGAAACATCCACAGCATAATCACCAGTTGAATTCCCTGGTGGTAATTTCCTTTTTCAATTGTTTTATTATTATTTTTAAGTAGCAAGAAGGAAAAGATGTGTAATTCCTGTAGAAACAGACTCCGCTGGTTGCTAATTACAAAAAAACTAGAGCAGCCAAATGCAATCCGCATCTTACTGCCTGATCCACTGCATTTCTACTCAAAATCAAGAAAAAGCCATCGTTGTGTGAATTTATCGTAGTGTGAGGCACTCTTTGTGCAAGGCACCACTGTACCAATATGCTCTCTGTGGGGCTTAATTCACAGCAAATGCACAAGAGATGTCAGTGTTCCATATGCTTTAGCAAGAACCCGGATAACATCGGTGAGCCAGCCTTGAAACCTCACTACATAGACATAATCATGCTAAATGTTTAGTATGTCCATATCTGTACTTAGAAGAAGTAAGTACTGTATGTAAATACAAATATAAATATATATATAAAAATAGATGTAAACTAATGCAAGATTTGAAGTTACAGACAGGCCTTAGAAACCAGATGGCCATTTGCTTATAAATATAGAGAAATACTTCATCTGGCATTGTTCAGGCTCATGCTCGCTCATCCACAACAGGCATTGTTCACGCTTATTCCAACCATGGTTTAGTATCATGTATAACTCTCCTGTTGCGTACATTTTGTCCCATCTCACTTGCTCACCTTGCTAGATTCCAACGGTGATATTAACATACACCAAACTATGGCTATTGCTGATACAAATTTCATGATTTTTCAGATCTGCTGCATTGGTATCACAGGAACCTATGGCATAGATAAACAGAGAAAATTAAACAATTCTTTGTGGAGCATCACATCTTAGTCCTATATATTGGTTTATCTACAGACACAGAATATGAGTCCTTATTTTATTCACAGAATGTGGTTGACTGTGGAAATACCCCCTTCTTTTTAGTTTTTTTAAAAGAGGCAAAATCTTTTTGAGGACATGCAGCTGGCTGTAGCAATAAGGGGAGGGACTAACCACCTCTCCTCTAATGACAGTTGTTCCATTAGCAAAGTGCCTAATTGGATACAACCTACTGTCAGTGTGTTTGAAAATGATGCTTTATTTGTGTGTTTCTTTATGCACATGTATGGCCAACCAGAACAGTCCTACAACTTGTAAAACAGAAAAACATCATTCAGTTCAATCCTAATATCAGTATTTTAATACACGCCAAAAGTACATCATTCAGTTCAATCCTAATATCAGTACTGTATGTATTTTAATACACACCAAAAGCAATTTAACATTGGAAAAATTCAGCATATTAAAGCATTTTTGTATCATAATTCCCACAAGTAAACGAAGAGCAATGCAAAAGGCGAGCTCTTGTGGGGGAGGTGCGAGGGACATTTGCTTGTTTGGGTTGTGTGCATGTGTTCTGTGCCCTCAAGTCGAAGAGCAATGCAAAAGGCGAGCTCTTGTGGGGGTGGTGTGAGGGACATTTGCTTCTTTGGGTTGTGTGCATGTCTTCTGTGCCCTCAAGTCAAAGTCGACTTATAGCAAACCTAACAGGGCTTTCAAAGTAAGTGAGATATTTAAAGAATGATTTTACCAGTTCCACTCCCCCAGCAGTTCTTAGTTTACCAGTTCCACTCCCCCAGTCAGTTCCTAGGACCAAGTGGGGATTCAACCCTGTTCTCCAAAGTCGTAGTCCATCACTCTATCCACTACGTCACACTGGGAACTAAAGCTCATTCAATACAGAATACATCCTTCCCGAAATACATATCTATTAGACTGGACTAGCAAAGACTATGCTGTTGTGGGCAGGATTCTGCTGCAGATCTGTTGCTTGAATACTATCAATGTCTGTGTTTCATATCAGCTCTTCCGCACTTCTAGTGATACACTGTACAGGAATTAGTATGGCTAATGGGATTATATTGTAATATATACTTGGGGTGGAAGTTAAAGCACAAAAAGGGTACACCACTGTATCCATGATGAGTTGATTGATTATCTGAACTTTTATTTTTTATTTAAAAAAAAATTGTTATGGCAGGGGATGGATACAGGTTCAACTATTTTTTTAATTTGTCTTTTCTCTTTGCAAATAATCTTGTGAGTTATCTTGAAGGTGGAACTGCATTTTGCCATTTGACTTCCAAATGAGTTGCACAATCTGTTCACTAGACAAAAAGGCACACAGATATATGTACATGCAGATACAGTGTCTCTACTTTGGTTGAGTCACATCCAGGGTTGCCAACATTTTACCATGTCTCCAGCATCTTGAAACATTATCAAATGATGCAAGAAGAAAATTCACCCCTAACTCTTTTATGCAAATAAAGGTGTGTGGTTTTTGTTTTTTGTTTTGTAAAAACTCAGAAAATGAGTTGGCAATCCTAATTACAACTGTGGGGTACACATCATGATAAATAATGGAAAAATCACAATGAGTGAGAAAAGTAGATCTGATCTTCTAGGACGAAATGTATTCCAGCAACATTCATAAATGAACCATTCTGTTCATTAAAAGCAATTAATGAGGAGCCATTTTGGATTGTCTCAACTTAGGGTGTTCTAGATTCACTAGAGAAAACGCAGACTAGTTGTCTAATGGAAGACCACAAAGCTCCCTTGCTCCATAATAGACCACTTCTAGTTTCTTCCTGCATTGCATACTTCTGTTTGATTATCTCAGTTGTATTTGCTCTCTTTATTGGTACTTTCTGCCCTCTAAATGTGATTTAGGGTTGGTTTCCTCAAAGGTTATGAAAACAGTAGAATGTTGTGACACAGAGATGGTCTACTACATTTGTAGTGATCTGCACTGACATGGTCCAGAGCCCACACTGATAGAGGCAGTAAATAGTTAGCCAAGCAAGAGATTATCTAGATTTCTTCTCTGTGTTTGGGTGGAAAAATATAAACACATACACAAATAAGCATCATCTGCTGCACATAATGAAGGAAAAATATTTTATTACAAGACAGGTAATGGCAGAGATGTGAAGAGGTCGTTTTTTTCATTAGCATACTTGCACTTAAGTGGACCCCCCCCCAAAAATATATATAATTATAAACAGAAATTGGCAGGCATTAGCTGTTAAAAGAGGAAGGGACTGCTCCCCAGGTGTGGAAAGTAAGAATAGGAAAGATAGATAAAAATCTCAACCATTAGCTGTTTGAGCCAAGACGACAGAGGCATAACAAGAGGTAAAACAGAGATTCCTATCCTACAGTTCTGCAGAACTGTAACTTTCTCAAAAATGGGTACAAAGCAGGCAACAAGAGGAAAAGTAAAAGTAACCTCAGGGCAATTACAGAGAAAGGCAGGGCTTCTGCAACCTTTTATTTCACCAGGGGCAAGAAAGGTTTTGTGCCAGAACCCATGGGAAAAGCTGGTGCTTTGACCATTTTCAAAGCCAAATACATTTTGAATATATAAACCAACATATCCATGAGCCTGGTTTTTAAAAGAGACAAAAAGATTAGGGGGAGGATGGGGATGAGGTGGGTTGAAGAGGGAATGGGTGAAAATTTCAGCTGAAGAATATTGTGGGTGTTCCATCTACCTTTGTAGCTGAAAGCAGGAAAACAAAACTCTTTGGCATCTCTTTCTATGGGACAGCCAAGAATATTAGGTACAGTTCTAGTCTGTTCCTCTGAAAAGAACATCACATAACAAGACACCGTACAGGACAAGCAACTGAAACAATGGATGGGTTGCAGCACTTTCTGTTCACGGACAGACAACAGCACTGGGGGCTCCTGACTGTAGAGAAAAATGCATCTTGAATTTGGATATTAAAAGTACATGAAATAACAAACAAGACAAGAATTCTTACATCACTCTAAAGTACAGAAGTGTCACCTCAGAAGTATGCTGAGGGAAAAAAAAGAGTCAAAGACAAAAGGAAACACTTTTGCACACAACTGAGTCAAAACAAGCGGTTTTGATAAGTACTGGGCTTCCAATATTCTGCTCCGCAAGTATGAGGGAAACCATAGGTTTTCTGATCAGAAGCAATAGCAAAATATGGTTTCAGACAAATGAGACATGCCTTTTTAGCTACAGTACAGCTTCTCAGAGCAGTCCAACCCCAAGACATACCGTAGCACCAATTTGTGGTGTGTCATTATGGGTGAATAAATCCAAGATGTCACTTCCATATAGAATAATTCACTACTGCAATATATGGTGACCACCACTGTCCCAAAGATGGTGTCCAGCCGGTCTTAGGTTAATTCACCACCGACTGCATGGGCAGGGGGTATGCCCTATGACAGCTATATGAAGCCTCCATGCTTAGAAGTAGTATACCGAGGATGCGGAAGACAAACAAAAAGGAAATGTATGACTAAGCAATGGAGCATTTCTGCATGTATCCGGAGGGCCACAATGCAAAGGCAGCAATTCCTAGAGGCCGATTTGCAGAAATTACTCTGCTTGGCAATTTAAATTCTTGTCTGAATCCATTTTCTCAGAGTTCGTCATAAAGAAAACTGATCCGTTTGCAGAAATTTGGCCAGTTCGGTCAGCATCAGAGGATGCTCGGACCGATTACCAAACTCATCCCTATTTGTTCTCAAATCGAGGGGCTCGGATTATTCGAAATATAACAAAATACACACCCCTGCAGCACCGGCTCCTGCGAAGAGAAGAATCCACGCTAATCTTCCTTGGTATTTTTTGCTGACATCATCATAACTGACACTGCTTGCAACCCAATCAGGAGCCTCGTTCCCGGAGTTCGTTGAGGGATCTTTAATAATTTCCGAACCGCACTTCGGCAAGAAAAATAAAATACCCTCGGGGACGAAAATTATAACAGCCCTGGAAAATCACGTCCCCTCTAGGTTGAGCCTAGGCGGGATGTCAAGACGACGGAGCCCACTCGCTACCAATCGAAGCCAGGCGATCCCGTGTGCAGGATGTGACTCTTGATGATGCGTCTGCACAGGATGCGACGCTGCCGCTTTATATTAAACGGCGACACTTGGAACTATAGGACCTCTGAGCATGGGCAGAAAGCTTTCCCCAGTATCAGTGTACACGACACTTGAAGTAATTTACTGCTTGCCTATAGAAGCCTATGCTCGTGTCCAGACGGAAACCGAAAGGAATTCCAGAGGATTTACTTGCACAGGAGGGCGTATCGGACTGTAGGGTTGGGAACTTTCCTTAAGGTCTTCATGTTCCATAGTTTGAATACCATGTCATAGATATATTCATCATTGTTTAAAAAAAATACTCCACGCTCCATTTTTTTTTTTGCATTTTTCGGGGGGGGGGACGGTTTTGGGGAAAAATACCCCACCCTGTTTTCTTCCCTAATTTCTCTCTCTCTCCCCCCCCCGTTGGTTTCGCGAGAGAACAAGGCATCCTTGTTTCACTCAAAACACTGCCTGATGGGAGGATACAGGAAAGTGGGGGAACAAAACGTTAAGATTGGAAAAAAAAAACGTGCACAAAACACGTCACGCTTATTTCCCACGTTCATTAGCGGCAGCTCTTCCAGGGCGCAAGATTGCCCCTGTCCGCTTCGGTTTGGCGTGTGAAGGGTTAACGGTGCAGGCCGGAAAGGCAGGGGCGGGATGGAAGGCGGGACTTTTGCTTGGGGGGGGAAGTTTGCTCCAGCGCGATGGCCGGAGTGGACTGTATCCTGAAACTCGGAGGGAGCGCCTTGACGCAGAAGGACCAGCTGGAGACGCTGAAGGGGGCGTCGCTGCGGAAGGCGGCGGCCATTGTCGCTCAGCTCCGCGGGGCCGGAGAGAAGCGCTGCATTGTCGTGCACGGAGCAGGGTAGGCGGAACGTTGCGCGGGTCGGGCGAGGATGTGGGCGGGGACGGGACTTGCTCCACCCCCTCAGTGGGTGGGGCCAGGAACTGCCGCCATGAGCTGCAAGCCCTGTTTGCAATGTAATAATAACTACTACGCTGTCAAAGCATAGCGACCCTTGCCCGGGTTTCCAAATAATCGAGATGGGGTTCTTTTGAGGGTGCTGTGGGATTGTGCAACTTCCCCGAGGCAGTGCAGGCTGGCTGGCTGTTCCCCTAGGAACCATATGAGGAATCGAACTCCTGACTCCTACTACAACTTATTGAGCTATCGTGTGAAACAAATCCAGCGAGGCTTGCTTCTGAGTGTCGTGTGCGGGGTAATGCTAGAAATTTAAAATAGGAGTGCACTTCTACAAGTTTACCTGGAAAAACGTTCCACTGTGTGCAGTGAACGTCCTTCCAGGTAAGTGTGCATAGAATTGTCATCTGAAACTGCAGCCACATGCACATTTATTTACCCAGCAGTAAATCTGACAAAGGTAAATGGCATTTCTAGGCAAATATTGAACCGGACATCACAGCAGCAGAGGACCCAAGAAAAGAGAAATTTCCATTTTCTGCTTTCCCAGTTGTCTCCATTTCCCACAAATGATCCTTACCTCATGGCATACCATATCTTCAAGAAAACGCTAAGGAGAAGATCTTAAAGAAATTGAAAAATATATAAACTTAGAGAGATATAACCTAAATATGCATTGTTAGTTATATGCTATCAAGTCAAAACTGACCTACAACAGTCCTAATGGAGCTTTCAAGGTAAATGAGATATTTAAGGAGTGGTTTTGCTAGTTCTAAACCCCCAGCAAAGGGTTGAGCAGGGATTCAAACTGAGGTCTCTTGAGTCTTAGTCTGTCACTCTATCTATTACATTATACTGGGTAATTGTGCTTTTGTTGTTGTTTAGTTGTTAAGTCAAGGATCAGACCCCAAGGATCAGAGCACGCCAGGCGCTTCTGTCTTCCACTGCCTCCCAAAGTGTTGTCAAATTCATGTTGGTCGCTTCGCAGACACTGTCCAACCATCTCGTCCTCTGTCATTCCCTTCTCCTCTTGCCTTCACTCTTTCCCAACATCAGGGTCTTTTCCAGGGAGTCTTTTCTTCTCATTAGATGGCCAAAGTACTGGAGCCTCAGCTTCAGGATCTGTCCTTCCAGTGAGCACTCAGGGTTGATTTCCTTCAGAATGGAAAATTGTTCTCCTTGCAGTCCGGGGGACTCACAAGAGTCTCCTCCAGCACCACAATTTAGAAGCATCAATTCTTCAGCGGTCAGCCTTCTTTATGGTCCAGCTCTTCCTTCCATACATCCCTACTGGAAAAAACATAGCTTTGACTATGTAGACCTTTGTTGGCAAGGTGATGTTTCTGCTTTGTGCTCTAACTGCTTTTAAAGGAAAAAAAAGGCATTAATTTCTGTATTCTCTTAAAGAGAACGTTTGAGGCAGAAAATTGACATGATCCTTTGTGTTTTTACTTGCAAGCAAATGTTCAGTGGAGCTTTATACCAGGGAATGTGCATAGGATTGCCAACTCTTTTCTCTGAATAGATTTTATAATTTCAAATGAGCTCTTTCCTTTCTTCAATTAGGTATGAATTTGTGGTCCTGTTGAACATGGTGGGAATTACTCAGTAAGTGTACATAGGTGAGCACACCATCCATTAACATGAAGGCATTCCAAAATGGTCCAAATCATGAGAAAGCGAATATTTGATTCTGATAGGCCTTCTCAAAGCAGTTTTTCATGTGTAGCACAGCATGTTGTGCTTTGTTGACAAGATACAGTGTGAGGGTTCAACTTTAGGGTCCTCTTTCAGTCCAAAGAAATCAATAGATTTTTGTTTCTTCAAAATAGGTGAAAGATTTATTGGTGCATTTAACAATAAACAAGTGTCATCTGTGACATGATTATGTATTTTTTCTCCTTCTGCTAACAGGTCCAGAAGGGGTCTCCAATCTTCAAACAGGAACAGGTTGCCACAGGGTTCATCTCTTGGGGTCTCGATCCTCCCAGGGTCCTCCCTGTACTTCTTCCTCATCTCTCTTATTCTCCATTCTAGCCTCTCTCTCCTTTCTCTCTCTACTCTTTCCTTCTTTTCTCTCAACCTCCTGCTCCACTCTCTTGCCTCGGCTTCTCCCCAATAAGAGGGTCGGGGGGGGAATCTCCCTTCTTCTGTAATATGCCTCCTCTTTAGGCACACTCAGCCTCTCCCAGCATCCTGTCCAAGGGTCTTCCATCCACACCCATTCCCAGCCTGCTGACAACTGACTCTCCTTCCTTTTTAACTCCCTTGTTCCTGCCTCAAAATCCACCCCCTTTTTCATCTCTTTTCCTGCCTTTTCCTCCTGGATCTCTCTCATTGTCACACCCTGCAAGTTCTCAGTCAACTCCCCTATTTCTGTCCCTTGCTGAGCTTCTGCCGCAGGTTCTGGTGCTGGCTGGGGACTCTCCTCCTTATTCTTGTTGTGGTGGAGGGACGGCTGTCCAGCGAGTGGGGCATCCCTCTCGCCTTCTGCCTCACATATAGTCAAACATCTTCCCCCTGATCTCTTTCATAATCCGATACAAAAGTGTAATTTGTTTATTATGGATTACTTTTCATAGTTGTTGGAAGAACTCTTCAGTTTTAAAAATAGCACTAATAAACAAAGAAAGGGGAAAGTATTGTGGCATCTTAAAGATTAATTAAAATACTTGTGAGCTTTTTTTTTTTACTACAATGCGCTGAATCTTTTAGCCACCCCTTTCTTTTGAATGACAGTGGATTCACCTCCTCCATCTGGCTCGCTCCTGTCAGGTCTAGTAGAGCCCTAGCCTGTTGCTAGTGTCAAAATCATTAACTTTTGTAGATGGAATGCAGGGGTTCTGTCTTATCCCCAAGAGCAAAATGCCTTAGGTTGGTCCTGGACTTTCTGTCATAATCACTTGCATGAAGGGTCGGCACTTTCATGTGTTTGTGTGTCTCTTACTTTAATTTCTGTCCCGTCTTTCTGCCTGTAGAGGGACTCAGTGTGGCTTAGAAATATTTTAAAATCAGAGGTACTAAAACAATTGCAATTTTAATGAATCACACTATTAAAAGATAACTAAGCATACTGAGTATTAAAAGGTTCTAAATAAAACTCCCATAAAACAATTTAAAAACACTTTAGAAAAAGACAATTCCCCTTTAAAAATCTTTTCTTTGTGATACTATGCATGTTAAAAGCCTGGCTGAAAAGAAATGTCTTTGCCTGCTGGTGGAAGGCCAGCTCCAAGAAGCCCAGCACGTCAGGCAAGGAGCTCCACAGCTTAGGAGCATCCACTGAAAAGGCTGGGAAAGGCCTCCTGTGTCTTCCCCAAGTGTGTCTGGGAGGTTGGTGGGACCAAGGGAGAGGCCTCCCCTGAAGACCTTAAAACCCAGTGAGGCTGAAATGGAGCGATATCTTAAATAGTGAGGACCCCGGTCATTTAGGGCTTTATAGGTTAGAACCAGCCCTTTGAATTTTTCATCTACTGTAAAAGAATCAGTAGTCGGTGAAGCAATTGTAACAAGGAGTTTTATTGTCTCTGTATCCAGCTCTGGCCAGGAGTCTACCTGCTGTATCCTGAAGCTGTTGAGGTTTCCAAACACCCCTGGTAGAGCCTGTTACAGTAATCTCTGAGCTTGAAAAGCTGGAACACAGTTATCTGGTCATGATTCATGTGTAGCAAAGTTCCCCCCCCCCTCAACATATTCAGCTTTGCACTTGTACAGCTTGCAGCTTGCTCAGAAAAAGGGGGTAAAAATAACATTTTTCCTTTAGTTTAAATGTTTCGCCATCAAAGACATCCCCTGAGATGCCCAAAGAAGAAAATCCAGATGATGCGCTGCGTGTGAGCTAATTATTGTGCCTCCTCTGCAGTTCTTTCAATCAGCCTGTTGTTCATTGTGGAAAAAAGGGATAGCTGGTCCACCAGAGGAAGTAGGCATGGCCCTGCCCATGTCTATCCTGCCCGTTTTTTTTTGGCTGTCTTACCCCAGTGAGGAGGATTTAGGACTGGGTTCTGTCCCCCTTTTGATAAATTCAGAGTCTATGCAAATGTGTACGGGAGAAAGAGGCAGCGGGAGATCATCACAGAGCACCTCCTGTGGGTCCACCCACCATTGTCTGCTGTGCCTCCCCCCAAAAACTACTATGAGTATCAGCCACCACTAGCTAGTGAAATGTTTTGCCTGCTGAACTTTTCATTGTGTTCTGCCCTTGGGGACCTGTTATAGGATTTTCCTCATTTGCGAAAGGTCACAAGGAACCATGTTTGTAAATGCCTTTTATTTGTGAACTTTGCCACTTTTGCCCCCTAACTTTAAAGAGAAGAGTGCATATGAAATGGGGCATTTATTTCCAGCAGGTGGCAGTACTTTACAGGCGTCTACAAAGTACAGAGATATTTGTGCAGTTCATTTCATTGCTTCTGTGCATTGAATTGAGCAGGGAAGTGGCAGGTGAGAATAAGCGTGAATGTAGCATGTGAGTGAATGTAGCAGCGGTTGAACCCATTCAAAATGTAACCCTTTACATATCTGCTCTGAACCATGTTGTGTCTACTTTCTTCCAGAGATCCATGCCTAGGATTGCAACATAAGTAGCAGTGGTAGAGTATGAGGATGGAAATTACATTTTGTGAATGTTGGTTAGGGCTTCATCACTTCCTCTCTTGATCAGTAGTGGCCCTGAGTGTAGCTCTCCATATGTTGATGCACTGTATCTTCCACTCACCATGCACAATAAGAATAGGTCTCATGCACAATAAGATTATTAATGGCTGCTACTCACAATGACAGTGGATTATCATGGGTACCAGTGTAGCGATCACAAAATGAGAAGGCTGATAGTTTAGGTAATCACTGAAGACAGAAAGCAATTAGTTTTAGAGAGAGAGCAAAGAAGTCAGTCACACAGAGAGATGTCCACCAGCAGAGTCCTCCACACACACCTCTTTATT